CCAGAACTTTGTCAATTCAGCCGAAACGAGATTCTAGCCTACATTCAATTAATGCCGTCACGTAATAATTATATATATAAATTATATATATATATATATATATATATATATATATATATATATATATATGTATGTATCTATATGTATATGTATATATATACACGGTAGGCTGCGTGCTTCGCGATACTACTTTTTATGATTCCGTGCAACTATTTAACGTTATCCATTAAGGGACGTCTACATTGGAAGTAAGCAGTAAGAAGTAGGAAGTAAGAATAAGAAATTGACCAATCATAGTTGATTATTCTTCTCATATTCGACTGTGGTTGGTCAATTTCTTACTCTTACTTCCTACTTTTTGCTATTTACTTCCAATGTAGACGTCCCTTTAATGTTTGTATTTTCACTCTGTAAAATCACTTTTAATTTGATGTATTCTATTGGAAAAAATCACTGCGACAATGAGACCTTTAATGCGATGTTGGATTTCGACATAACGCAGTTTCGTAATATTCTTTTTTTTTAAATTAGATGTATTAAATTGAAAGTCAAGATATCAAAGATACAAGACTACTCGGATCGCCACCGATAAAACCACTCTTTGCTAATTGCCACTGGACATGAATGATACTTAGGATTTTTGTTACTATCAATAAAACTGACAAGATTGGCACGAGACGTCGCGATATTTATACTAGACGTAGCACATCAAACAGGAAGGAAAGAAATGCGACAACCTGGGTAACCATACTTAATGTCGCTCGTGTTTGCATATTCGCTATATACATACATACACGCGCGCACGCATATATATATACACGTTCAACTGGCATAATTTCTTATATTTATATACATAAATCATTTATCCTAATACGATCAACTAGAATTCAACCGCTAGCGCGCGCACTTGTACAAAAAATAGTCTGCTCTTGTCAATAAATTGAAGATATTCAGAATATTCGTATCATATCAGTTATATGTATGTTAAACATAACGATTTATTGAGACTAATATATTTTGCAGATTGCAAAGAGAAGAAAACTTCTGTTCTGTATTACATCATTTATGTATTATCAATTATCGAAGCTTCGAAGTTTTTTCTTATTAAGAAATTTTAAAGTGCTTCGCATTGATCGGGTGATTCTCCGCAGTGATTGCTCGATCAGTTTTGTCTCTTTGACATGTGTTTCAATTTCTTTGCGACACGCGATACTCGGAACTGTCTCCAAACGGTACGATAACGACACATAATTTGTTGCTAAAGATTGTCGACGATTTGCCGACTGTCAAGACGCCGCGAGGAAATGACAGAGTCGAACGTGTATTAAAGATGACAATTTATTTAGAACAATACATTTTTCTGATCGATTCGTACCTGCGTTAAATTAATTACATAAATAGAAAGATCACATGGATTCTTGTCTTGTCTAAACAATCCTTCGTCAGGCGATAATGTTCCATTAGAGGTGTAACATCGTCTGTCTTTTCCCCTCTTCTCTCTCTCCCTTTTTCTTTCTATCCTAGAAAACTCTCTTCTCTTCGTTTATTTCCCTATTGATACAATCGAATTACGCGGTGTCTCGTGACGTAGAAAGTTGCTTAAGAAAAATATATGTGTCTATACGCTTTTGCTATCTCTCGATGGCTCGATGATCACGGTCGCAGATTCGCTAGAGTCTCTCGCATAGAACATCCGAAAATAAAATATTTATCAATAAAAACTGTTGTGTATATGTGTGTATACATATACATACACAATACATTCAGTCATATATATATACACATAATACATTCAGTCTAAAATACGATTAATCCGCGAGCAGTGGCTTGACGGTAATTCGTGGGTTCATCGTGAAAGATTCGCACATTACTTTCATCGACGATAATAATTTTTAATAAGACAATAAGTCGGATAAGAAGAAAATCAAACGACATCTGGATATATAAGTCCAATTAACTTGTTATCCTCGTTATTGTCCGATACGCCATCATACTCCCAGATTAAAATTCACTATCTGCGATTTTTTACTATGAGAGCATCGCGTCCTCTCGAGGAAGAAGATCAACGTACATGCGTTTAAACCTAAAAGAGTTTTATCTCGAGTTTTCTCTCATGCGCACTAAGCAAGCAGAATTCATCGTACCCGTTAGATCGCAGTCGCCAACGCTTTCCCGCAGATCGGCGAGAAAGTAGAATAATATATATAATAAATCGAGACTCCCTAACTCGCGGTGCACGTTCTTCCTAAGGGCTGACTGGATTAGCAAACTTCGAACTTTCAGTTGTGTGCCATTACCACGCGCATCCGACAAATCGGGACAGCTGCTGTGTTAAGTAAAGCAAAAAAGAAGCATACTTGTACATGCTGATCCTCAAACGTTGCACACTATTGTATATAAAATAGTTCGCGTATAAGATAAAAAAGCACGTCACATTATTCTAAGTAAGAATTTCCCCGTTTCTAAGGAGTTGTTCCTAAGAGGCTATGTAAACTGAAATGTATGTCGCGAGTATGTTTAAAATAATGCGAGAATGCGATGACGATGAACAGAGAGGTCTATTCTTTTTAGCTAAACTGTCTGAACTGGTGTTCACTGGTGCAAGAAGTTAGAGCATGACAAATCTATTTTGTTTCATTCTAATTGTATCAGTCTGTACCAGTTCAGGCAGTTCAGGTAACAGACCTGAGATATCCAGTTGAACGATTGAAGACAACTGGAAAAAAGAAACTTTTAAATATAATTATATATATATATATATGAATTAACTTCAGCCGTGAATAAATTAATTATATCATAACGTCGATCGACACAATATATATTTAAATAAAATTTTTCCGAAATTTCTCTCTAATGAATTTAAGATATTAAAATTTGTTCAATTAAATTTAACAATAGTTAGATAACAGTAGTTAGAACAAACATTTCGTATTTAAAGGTAATAGACACGCTACGTCATTACATAAATATAAGCGAGACACATATCGTAAGCTTCTAAACATTCAGTAGAAAACGAATCTTCCTTTCAAATCAGATTTACTTAAATATGTACCGTGTAATGAGGAACAAAGTTATTTCGACCTCTTTTTGTCATAATCGCTCACATTTATTATACCACCCACTTTTTCGCTAAGAAAATGGAAGTGACGGATATGATAAAGGCACTTTCAAAACCTAACGTATATCACGTCGGTCATTCTTCATTTCATCTATGAAATATAATGTTTTTCTACGAAAATACTCACAGATGAAAACTTCAGCGAAAAACAATATTCTAATAAATAAATTATATCAAAGGATTTAATGATTTCAACAGTCAAGAACAAATTTCGTAATTTCTATGACTTCTATGACTATAATTTCTATGACCCTTACACGAACTCCTAACTTCAACGTTTACTAGATACAAAAATTTAGGACCGATTTTATCACGTAAAAACATAACTATCTGATGTAATATTTTTATAATTATTGTATCATTGCCGAATTTGCTGTTAGAAATATCAGCTTTCTCAAAAGCTAGATTGCCTTAAGCTTCAGAAAGCACCGTTTTAACAAATGCATGCATTGTACGTTACCACGATGTTACTTATAGAAACGTAAAAAAGGGGTGTTTAAATAAAAGAGCCTTTACATTATATAACAAAAAAGCTAGTAGACATTCCAAAATAAAGCACAGCCACTAAACATATAAAAATAATAAACGAAGAGAAATTACACAATTGCTCAGCGCTCGGAATTTTAGATCATTTTTTTGGTTTCATCAATGTAAGAAACAAAATTCTGAGGAATACGTTTACAATTATAAACGTATCGTTCCTTCAGTTCTTTCACTGCATGTTCAATGCTATTAATGTTGACAGTTTGTCAATAAAAATCGAAGAACGCGATATAACGTCATGTTAAATAAAAAAATGTATTTCCGTTAGAGAGATATTGCAAAGTTGTACGTTCTAAAATGGTTTAACATGGTCGGAGACACGAGCTCATGTTGGAAATATGCATCACTCTTCAGAGAATGTAAGATATACGTCGTATAAAAATCTATATTTCTAAGGCGTAGACTAAAAAAGAAGAAAAAGGAAATGTAAGATTCCTCTCTCTTTCTCTCTCCTTCTCTAGAGTGATAATGTTAGACAAGGAGAAACGACTATGTACATGTGCATACGGAGAATTTAGTCCATCTTATCAGAGACCAGAGGAAATCTGACTATTCTCAACTGCCGACCAAAGTCGCAAACAACGCTATCTCTCAGCGCCAGCATCTGTTTCACGAAAATGCAACTGTCTTTATGACCCAATCTCACTTCCCGTACGGGTTCACCCGTTCTTACGTCCCAGACCACTAATGATCCCTAAAAACATTCGTTTCGGAATTAATTGAATATAAATCTATTAATTTATCTATTACGATAAAAACTTAATACTGAGGATATCGATTGTTTACCTGATTGCTGGTTATAAGAAGATGATGCGTCAGCATTACTAGTTGTAAGCTGTAAGCCGCTCTATGTGCCGGCAGCGTATGCAGTAGGTGACCCTGAAAACGTTCCCAGACGCACAATCTCTCATCCGTTCCGATACTTATTACATATGACACGGAACACGTGACAGCAGCTATAGCACCATCATGGGCTTGAATACTATACACGCATGTTCCTAATACACAAAAGAGAGATATTAGATTTAATAATTCTAGTAAATTGTGTTTCTCAAATAGGAATTTTGGGATTAATGGAGGTGTTACCTGTCCCATTGAGATCCCATACACACAATGACCCATCTTGGGACCCACTACCGAATGTTGAGGAACTTATTCTGTCAATGAAGAGGCACGATATCGGGCCCGAATGCCCATGCAAAGTGTGCTCAAGTCGCTGATCCTCTAAACTAGATAAGACAAAGAAATATATACAAGAAAAATGAATGATTCTTAGGAAATGAAAATTGTATTTGCAGAGATGAGTGCATACATACCTATATACTTTCAAGATATGATCCTGACTACCCGTTATAACGTGTCCATGATCGCTATCGAGGACGGTGATCACTTGCTGATGCGCTCTCTGCGTGCTAATTTTCATGCAACGCATATCTTCTTCTGTCTGCATACTATTATTTAGGTCCATAGGTGAACCGGCGCTACCCGTTCGCACATGAGCTAAAATGATATGTTAATTAAATACTAAAAAATGAAGAGAGATTACGATTGTTTTTCTCAGTTCACATTAAATTTTGAATTATTGTTTTTCTCAGTTCACATTAAATCTTGAATTATTGTTTCACTGTATGTGTATATATATATATATATATATATATATATATATATATATATATATATATATATATATATATACATATGTGTGTTTGCAATTTATCCTCGATGAGAAAATGAAACATCAGTGCGACTCTACTCGCAATGACTAATATGAATGTTACGTAATATATAGGAATAATTTGTCATATTTTGAAGTTTATTTACTTCTCCTGTAAGACGTAAAACCCCAATCAATCTGATGGCCTTCGCTGTAACTTTCGAGCTGTAGAAAATCAACGGCGCCGTTTAGTTTGGCCGCCACTACTCTGTTGCCGATCAGTTTAACAGCAGTAATCCCGAGTTCTGATCCATCATCGAAGAAACACTATATTAAGAAGTTATTGAATAATTCATATTTCTCAGACGATGCGTTTGCATCAGTAGATATCGATTCGAGAATCTCACCTTGAATCTACCAGTCGTACCCTCCCAAAATTCTAAACTACCGTTAGCGCATCCCACTACTATGAGATTTTCCTGATAGTCCATACACCAAATCGCGGATATGACGTGTGATATTTGTGTCACACGATCGATGTTTATAGAGGACGTGCTGTTGACTAGGCCGCGGTTGTTCAATCTGGCGACAGGCACGCTCGGCTGTTCTCTGGTCCTGGACATTTGCATCTCTTCCAGCGATCTGTTGTGTTTCTCCAACAAGGTTCTATACCGTTCTCCAAAATCGAAACCTCGATCATAATTCTGCTGGGTGGGTGTAAATTTGACCGAGGAGAATCTGATATCGACTGCCGACTTCAGATCGGGAATATCGTAAGTGTTATCCAAGCTTCGACGTAACCAGGGTTGCTGCTTGGCGCTATGAAACTCGTTGATTTGATACTCGCAGTCCAAAGTATTTCCCACAGATCGTCTCTTGTGATTATTGTTATTGTTGATGCTGTTAGTTCCTTGTACGTTGGAGAATTTCCGCTGATATATCGCCGAGGTCGGCAAGTAAAGCGCCATTGAATTCGCTGCTTCCATTTCTCCTCTAGAAGGCGGCGAGCCGCTCTCGTAGTCCGACATCAGCTCGTCCGCATCCGGCGAGGTGTGGTTCGGGATCTTTTGCGGACTGCTGAAGAATTGTCGCCTATCGATATGTGCCAATTGTTCACCCGAGATCGAGTCCCACACTCTGATGTGTCCAGCTAAACATGTACTGGCAATGGTATTACCGTCGGTCGTTATGCACTCCACTTCCTGCGTATGCCCTTCCAGGACCAAGGGCACCGCTTCCAGCACCAACTGAGTGACGGAATCCTGTGTCTTGTCTTGCCGATGCCAGCTGGTCCGCCACTCCGCGTAATTTCGGGAGCAGATGCAACGATAAAGCATAACCATCGTATAAACGACGACGATGACGCTAATAAGACACAGCAGAGCGGCCAAAAATATCTCCATCGGGCTCGACGGCACAAAAGGCGCGTCCGTATTAAATATGCGTCCCTCCGACCTGGACGGTACCTCCATATCTAAAAATAAAGATAAGCGCAAAAATTAATGAAGTGACGACGTTGGGTGAATACACAGACTTTTCACGAATATATTTACGAACCGGAGAAATCGAGAGGATCGAGCGCGGCGGTGGCTAGACTCTGCCATTGGAAATGTTGAACGTCATTCGGATTGCTGATCTGTTTCACAAATTGCGAGTTCATCGCATACGACAGTTTTATCGTTGGTAATATAGTCATTCGCCCACCGGCGATCGAGACGTTGTACATCGCGAGAATCGAAGACCAATGATATAGCGACAAACTATTCCAAGGTGGAAAATTAACAGGTTTTAGCTTGTTTAATTCTTCAGTAGCGTTGTTAATTAGGTCCTGAAATCAAACGCGTTTTATATTCTTTTTCCTTCAAAAAAAAAAAAAAAAAAAAAAAAAAAA